ATATATATATCGATCAGAAAAAATAAATAATGAATTCGACCGACATTTTTGTAGATCCCATTGAGAAATGGACTTATGTAGTTATGTTGTATTTTATGTACAGATTAATTAATGAAAACTCAAGATTCACTATTTGTTCTAAGATTCTTAAGACATCGATCGAGATTTCCTCAATCCATTAAAAGCAAATATCATAGATTTGTTTATTTATATTCGCTCTTAATACTTACACCAAACTAAAGAATACAAGACATATTCTATTATATATTTTATCATAATTAAGTATTATATATTCTCACTTTAATTTTATCCGATCATGGTTAAGAAGTTAATTTTTATAAACACTAAGTACATGTAATTTCTTTTTACCAAAATCATAAAGCGTCGGGTCACCTCTCAGGGAAGGATCCATTGTGTAACATAATATGGGCTCACGTGCATTCAGTAACTTTTGCTCAGACTCTATATATTTTTAAGAAATTTATTAAATATTTATAGATTTTCTTAGTATGAACCCAATAATTTTATTATATATTAATTTAAGGTCATAACAGAAACAAATAAATTTTAAATTTTGGATTCGCCGTGCCATGTCCTTCTATCGTGTGATAAACGGTGGAGTAATAATCAAAGTAATCAAATTTTCAACTTCTTGAAATATTTTTTCTTCTAACATGTGATTAATTGAAAAGTAAATTGTAAATTTAACCTAATTTAGCAGTATCACACATTTAAAAATATCTTTAAATATCCTCAATGTAGAGATCATCGGGTGGAATACTACTTAAATCAGTGACAAATTTGCTATTATATTCTCTAATTATAAACAATGAACTGTTTTTTCGTAATCCTTTTTACTATTTTAATAACTTTATATCCAAAATATTATATTCCTATATTTTCTTATTCTCCGTGTTTGTGGAAGAAAAAAAAAGAAAAGAAAATCACGTGCTAATATAAAGCAAGATCCTTTGACTCATTTTCGTCACTATCATCGTACCCACACTAGTTTTGGATAATATTATTCCACAAAAATATTCAAAATGTAACACGTACGCCTTACTTCTAAATAAATTGAGATTGGTTATATGAATTTTCATTGATAATATTATTATCCGACCATTTAAATTCGATTCAGGCCACATATTACAAGATAAAAATAAAAATTAAAAAATATGAGAAGTTCTCTATATTTATTACTGACATACGAATTTCTAATAGAGAAAAAATTATTTAGAATCCAACAA